ATGATGCCTCCCACTATCGTCCCATTGCTCTTACTAGTGCAGTTCGCAAAGTGATGGAACGTCTGGTAAATCGCCATTTAATGTGGTATTTAGAGAGACACAACAGTCTCTCTGCTAGTCAATATGGCTTTCGTAAGGGCCGTTCTGCCATAGACCCCTTACTACGCTTGGATACGTATGTTCGTAATGCCTTTGCGAATAATCACTCGGTTATTGCACTATTTTTTGACCTTGAGAAGGCTTATGACACAACTTGGAGGTACATATAATATTTTGGCCCAAGCCCACTCCTTAGGCCTCCGAGGCAATCTACCATCCTTCCTTAAGAACTTTTTAACTGACAGAAACTTCCGTGTTCGAGTCAATAATGTGCTTTCCCCGGACTTTGTCCAAGCTGAAGGTGTCCCTCAGGAATGCGTTCTGAGCACAACACTTTTTCTCCTTGCTATTAATGATTTGGCCTCTGTTCTTCCACCCAATATTTGGTCATCACTCTATGTTGATGACTTTGCTATTGCTTGTGCAGGCGCTGACTGTCATCTCATTGCAGTTTCTCTCCAGCATGCGGTCGACCGTGTTTCCACTTGGGCCACCACGCATGGGTTTAAATTTTCCAATACCAAAACTCACCAAATTACTTTAACTAGACGCTCTGTCATCTCCGATCATCCTTTGTATCTCTATGGCTCTCGTATCCCCGAACGTGATACAGTCAGGTTTCTAGGCCTTCTCTTTGACCATAGGTTATCCTGGAAACCTCACATTACCTCTCTGAAGGCAACTTGTCACAGCCGGCTAAACCTTCTTAAAACCCTTGCTCATTTTTCCTGGGGAGCTGATCGTCGAACTCTGCTTCGCCTACATTCAGCCCTCGTTTTATCAAAACTCGATTATGGTGACCAGATTTATTCAGCGGCCTCTACTGCTACTCTCTCTAGCCTTGACCCCATCCATCACCAAGGATTACGTTTATGCCTTGGTGCTTTTCGCTCTTCCCCTGTTGAGAGCCTCTATGCAGAAGTGAACGTTCCATCCTTGTCTGATCGCCGTGATGCCCATTGCCTTCGCTACTATGTACGCTCTCACGATCTCCACAATCCTTCCATTTATAGAATGGTCACCGATATTAGTAGACATTCTTTATTTGTTCGCCCCCCCTGTTTGCTCTGTCCCTTTTCTCTTCGCCTACATTCGCTCTTGTCTTCCCTTCAGTTACCACCTTTATATGTTCATGTAGCATCTCACTTTTCCCTACCCCCTTGGGAAGTTCCAGCTGTTCGGGTCTGTTCTTTCTCACTCCCTTGCTCGAAAGCCCAACTGCCTAAGGTGGCTTCCCGCTCTCTTTTTCTTGATCACTTCCACTCTCATTCTCATGCCATCGCTGTGTACACAGATGGCTCTAAGTCTTCAGACGGTGTCGGATTCACAGCAGTGTTTCCGGACAGCGTCGTGCGAGGGCATTTCCTATCTTCGGCTAGCATTTTTACTGCTGAATTGTATGCCATTCTTGCAGCACTAATTCGTATCATATCGCATCTATGCCTGTGTCATCATTTGTGGTAGTCTCAGACTCCCTTAGTGCTCTACAAGCTGTACGAAAATTTGATACATCTCACCCCCCTAGTTCTCCGTATCCAACTTTGGCTACGCCGTATCTCTACCAAGCATAAAGATATTGTTTTTTGTTGGATCCCTGGTCATGTCGACGTACAGTGCAATGAACAGGCAGACACTGCTGCGCGGTCAGCAGTACATGACCTACCAATTTCCTATAGAGGTGTTCCATTTCTGGACTATGTTGCTGCAATAGCTACCCACCTTCACACCCGTTGGCAACAACGTTGGTCAACTCTGTTTGGTAACAAACTTCATTCTATTAAACCGAGCATAGGTTACTGGCCGTCTTCTTGTCATCAGTGCCGAGGTTAGGAGACCACTCTCTCCCGCCTTCGCGTTGGCCACACTCGTCTTACTCATGGGTATCTCATGGAGAGGCACCCTGTTCCTCTCTGTGAGCAGTGTAAAGTTCCAGTATCGATTAGCCACACTCTGTTAGACTGCCCTCTCTATCAACGAGCACGCAGAATTTACCTCCAACGTCGTCTTCGTTCTACTACTCTATCTTTACCTTCCCTTCTTGCTGATGGACCCTCCTTTAATCCTGACTCATTGACTTCTTGACAACGACTGATTTACTCCACAAACTCGGATGATACTTTTCGCACTCCCCTCAGCCCTTTCTAGTTCAGTCTCTTGCTGCCCTTTACCCTTTCACCATCCACTACCCCGCTGTTATCCGTAACCTATTACTCATCCATCTCCCTTTTGCCACCTGATGCCCTTGTGGCTTAGTGCTTCTTTTTGATTATAATAATCCACCTCCTCATTTTACCTTCCCTGTCTCTGTACCGGGTTCTTCCCCTCTCACTGGCTCTGTTACAAGTGTAGAGGTTCACCCTCCTCCTCGTACTATACCTACCTCCCCTGTTCCCTTCTAAGTTTCTTCCTCTTCTGCCCCCTTCGGCTAGTATTTTTACTGCTGAATTGTATGCCATCCTTGCAGCACTTATCCGTATTGCATCTATGCCTGTGTCATCATTTGTGGTTGTCTCGGACTCCCTTAGTGCTTTACAGGCTATACAGAAATTTGATACACCTCACCCCTTAGTCCTCCGTATCCAACTTTGGCTACGCCGCATCTTTACCAAGCATAAAGATAGTTTTTTGTTGGGTCCCTGGTCATGTTGACGTACAGGGCAATGAACAGGCAGACACTGCTGCGCGGTCAGCAGTACATGACCTACCAGTTTCATATAGAGGTATTCCATTTACAGACTATTTTGCTGCAATATCTTCCCAACCTTCACACCCGTTGGCAACAACGTTGGTCTACTATGCTCGGTAACAAACTTCAATCTTAAACTGAGTATAGGTTACTGGCCATCTTCTTCTCACCAGTGTCGAGGTTGGGAGACTACTCTCTCCCGTCTTCTCATTGGCCATACTCGTCTTACTCATGGATATCTCATGGAGAGGTGCCCTGCTCCTCTCTGAGAATTGCCAGGCTCCATTATCAGTCAGCCACATTCTGTTGGACTGCCCACTTTATCAACGAGCATGCAGAATTTACCTCCGTCGTCGTCTTCGCTCCGCTGCTCTCTCTTTACCTTCCCTTCTCGCTGATGGACCCACCTTTCATTCGGACTCTCTCATTGACTTTTTGACAACAACTGACTTCACAAATTCTGATACCTTCAGCCCTTTCTACCTCAATCTCTTGCTACCCTCTACCCCTGCACTATCCCCTGCCCCGCTGTTTTCTGTGATATACTGATCATCCCTCCTCCCTTCTGCCGCCCAATACCCTCGCTTCCTTCCCTACCCTGCAGCGTTGTATAGCCCTTGTGGCTTAGCACTTTTTTCATTATAATAATATATAAGTGGGGCCCTCCTGTATACACACCTTTCAGGAATGTGTTATGAAGTTTAACCAGTCAAGTCAATTATGAATTAGCTTTCTTTGGAGCAATGTAGTAATACAGCCTTACTCAACTGGGTTCTGTTCCTAAGAGTAGGTTGGTAAATGAATTGGTCATTAAGCAAGGATCATATTTTGCTGGTAGTGGGTTTGTGTCAACCATCTTTAGATATTTATAACATTTTTAGTATATTTTTAAATGTTTATACAACAGTGTACTGTATACTGTAATAAACAAAATAGAGGAAATCAGCTGTAATGTACATAGGTTCACATACTGGTTGGAGAGCTAGTCATAAGTGAGTGGTCAGTGATCGCGTACATCGCCAAGCAAGAAGAGGCTGCATAAGTGTTTGTTTCATAATTGTACTATGTATTTGTGGTAGTATGAATTTAATTTATTAGCCAGAGAAATAAGTTGGGACCTCCTTTATCTAATTCACTAGTGTCGTATAGAACACGCCTGAAAAAGCATGTTGAGAAACTGGAGAGTGTTTGGAAGTGTGCAACAAGGCTTGTTAAAGAGGCTAACAGGATTGAATCTAACACCATTGAACAGAAGAACTAGAGGGTTATGTAATATACAGAATACTCAGGGGAAATTAAGTTGACAGGCTGCTTGAGAGGAAAGAAACAAGTACTCAGGGACACAGTTGGACATTAAAAGGCACAAATGAGATGCAGGGATGTCAGGAAGTATTTCTTCAGTCTGAGTAGTTCAGAAATGGAGGCAAGCTCCACACAGGTTTAAAAGCAAGTACATTAGGGCCCATGAGCTGAGGGAGGGAATTGAACAAGTGGCAAGTTGAGGAGCAGTACCAGGAGATAGTATTCGACCTCTTCAGCTACCTATAGGTAAGTATGTGTATATATACAGTACAGTATATATAAAAATTACCACCACCACTGTTAAACTAAGTGGATTGAAATTGGAAGTTTGATAATTTCTTCCTCTGCAACTCATGCAGTGCTAAATTCGACACGGAATTATTACAATGGCAACTAAGCTCTAAACCCACAGGGGTCATACAGCTCTGAAAAATTAGGGAAGACTTTTGCTGTACATCATGCCTAACAAGCCAAGTAGGTCAAACATGACAATCAATGATTTTTATTAAGGTTTGTTATTATAGTCTTGTGAATTCTTTTAAAAATTTGCACGGAAACTTTGCAACCTAACCCTACTAAAATTAAATACATACAATGATACCTAATTTAACATTAGCTTAAATTTTGGCAAGTACAGCATTAGAGTATTTGATCTTGACAAAATACTGACTTCTCTCGGGGAAGATCCCCTCATGGAAGGTTCCTTGATGTTGGTGAGGGGCTCTTGATTTAGGGAATTGGAACTGTGCTCCAGTTCCCCGAATTAAGCCTGAATGCCTTCCACATCCCCCCCCCCCCGGGAGCTGTATAATCCTACGGGTTTAGCGCTTCCCCTTTGATTATAATAATAATAATCTCGGGGAAGATCCCTCGATACTGGTGAGGGGCTCTTGGTTCAAATAAAATGCACCTGAAGGTTTGATTTTTTTTATTATTTTAAACAAAATACATGATCCCTTAACAGAAAAATGTAGGCAAATATCACAGGGCAGCACAGGAAAGCTATTGTACAATGTACACTACTATGACTGAATTAGGGAGAATGGTTGCAATAGACTACAGTAGTCGACTGATTCTAATGCACATTTCTTTGAATCATTAAATATTAGGTTCAGCATTTTTGTGAATATAAACATTATGGCACAATATCTACTTGACTACTGATAAAAAAAAAAAAATCTAGCAACAAAATAATTGCATCAAGATAACTTATAAATATTTTGGGCATTTCCCTGATATGTACAAATATTCTACACTGTATTTTAATGCTAGTGCAAATGGAATAAAGGAAAAGGAAGAATGAAGATACATGCTAGGAATGTCCAAATAGTCAGGAGCCATTGAGTATCCCATATTCTTAGTGAAGACAGCAAGGGTTTTTTTTTTTTTTTTTTTTAATGTTCATATGTGGGGATACTGAAGCGCCTTGATGCCGCTAAAAATGGCATCTATTTTTATTCTGTACCATGTATTTGCTTGTGTGTTTCCATATTTCAATTTTATAAAAATGTTTTTTTTTCCTTTAATTTCAATTACCATTTATGTATACCCAACAGTTTTTTCCCTTGACAAAAAATACAAATTGGTGTAATTTTTTATTAATCTTTATATTTCTGTATAATTAGGAGGTACATGTAACTAAATTTTTTTTTTTTTTTTTTTTTTTTTTTTTTTTGGTAAGAGTCAAGGTAAGCAAGTTGATTTCAGAATTTTCCTCTTCACAGTTGATGGCAAGTAATCTTTAAGACAGTCTGTGCTGGATACTGTTTGCCCAGTTGGACACTAAAGAAGCCATTTCAGACCCAAAAACCACAGTGAACTCGATGGAATTTAAGATACACCATGGTGCTTTGACAGCAAAGGATCTTAAAGGAGAGAATGTACGACAGCACCACTCGTGCTGTCAAACTGCAAGCCATAAGGAACGTGCAGATAGAGCACTTGGAAAATTCATGCAGTAATGTGAATGCTCATGGACAGCCAGTTGAAAAGGATTATCCTCAGTTGACTCCACCATTCATTGAAGTGCAAACTATGGCCTATATGAAATCAGTATATTTTTGACAATGGAGCAACAAATACATTTCACTGAATTTAGTACAAACTGACAGTGCTGGACAAAATCTACAGTCAATGCGAACAATGACAATAGGATATACATGCAGGTAAACAAAAGTACGAATCCTGCTGATGCTCGTGCTATGTATGTTATGTACCACAAGAAGTGCTGGAAAATACACGATTCACTCACTCGTGCCACAAAGAACTACTTATGAAAACCATCAGACAATGAATCTGTTAATACTTTGCAAGACTTTTGTTTCAAGAAAATGTTAGCATGGCAGATTTGGAATAGACATACAAGAATATCTGTATGTCAAATGGTGTAGCTGAAAAAGTTTAATCCAGATGACAAATAATTTGGTTGCAGAAGAACTTCAGAATTTGGATGTGCAGTTCATGGCTCCAAAGTACATGAATGAATTGGAGAGAGATCCTTACAAAAGATTTAGCACTGGTACAAGCAGAAGTAATGCAACCACCAGCCATCTCCCACTGAGGTAGTAACCATAAAAAAAAAATTATTTTCTAAACCTATCTGGAAGATTCACAGGCTCATTAGTGTAAGAGAACCTAGCTCATATTATCTTGATGGAATTGTACTATTAAAGTGGTGCATTGCTGGCATTTCCAGTAGGGAACAGAAATCTTAAGAGGTGAATTAAGTTTTTTTTTTTATCAGTGTTACGTACCAATGTCTATCGTCACGTCAGACAACAAAGATTATTCCTAAACAGTTCAACACTGTAGGTACAGCAGTTCACCAGGCAATGAAAGGTAAGCAACTTTTTGAACTTCAGTTTTGGGCACAATGTAGACTACCACAGGATATTCTACAAGAAGTCTGTAATATGAGGTTCTACAGAGGATGGCCAGTAGTGGTGTGCATATTACTTGAAAAGAAAAGAAATTAAGAACTGCTCAGACCTTGCTAACTACTTCATTAGCCAGATCAACATGAAGTGTGAAATGCACACTTGCCTTCATTTGTTTTTTGACTCTTACGTTGAAGTTAGCTAGGAAATGTTATCCAGTAAATGTTATCCACACTGTATCCAGGTAGAAGCTTCTTCCTCTTGAAAAGAGAGTATGAACTGTCTAATTTCTTAGCAGAACAATGCTTGGAAAATGCAAAGCTACAAATTACAGTGTAGTTTGGCAACAAGTTGCCACTGAGTAGCTCGCATGAAGCAGATGGTAAAATAATCCTACACAATAGAAGCCACAAAGAGAGGAGCAATATGGTTGGACATCCACTCCTAATAGAGGTTAGTGTAAACTGAGCAAGTGTCCTGTACTGCCAAAAGATGCCGACTTCACTGGAGATGAGGTAGGAAGCAAAGTGTGCCCTTTACACTCGTGTACCCCTCAAGGAAGGTTCCTTGATGTTGGTGAGGGGCTCTTGATTTAGGGAATTGGATCTGTGCTCCAGTTCCCCGAATTAAGCCTGAATGCCTTCCACATCCCCCCCCCCAGGTGCTGTATAATCCTCCGGGTTTAGCGCTTCCCCTTGATTAACATAATTAATACACTCGTGTACAAGAAGTTGGGCAACCTAAAAGCAGAAACCCTTATTGTCATAGATGTAGTATGCAAGGCTGATGCAATCATATCTTTCAATGAAGGGAGGTAAAGTTTTTAGAAGCCCCTCATCTCTGCTGAAGACAGCATTATGGCAAGCTTTAGCTGACCCTGGCAAAACAAATCAAATAATTTGTATGAGGACATGATGCTAGCTACTGAAACATTCATTTGTAAGGTGTACATTCCAAGCACACAGATTACCACTGTTGAACTTAAGTGGTGGCTTTTCATGCCAAACTGGGTAGGGTGTGAAAACCTTTCTTCACAAACCTAGCTATACAAAGAGCTTGCCTCGAAATGGTAAAAGTGACTAGGTAGATTCCAACTTGCCAGAGCCAACTGACTTAGGATGGCAGTATGAAAAGTCTAGCACCTGTTGCTTGTTGCTTTCCAGCTCCTCAGACTGTACCTGAGCTCATGAAGTGCAACTGTGCCATAAGAAAATGTAGTCATTGCAAGTGTACTGTTAATTCATTTCCATGTACAGCAATGTGTAGTTGCTTTGGTGATGAAATGTGTGAAAACAATCAAACTGTGGGGGACTGATGTCTAATGGGTTTAAATGAAATAAATGTTTGCTTAAAATACAGGTAATCTAAAACAAATTAGTCATATTTAGAGTTATTTGATTAGCAATTAAATGTAAACACTTGTTTTTCCTCACATTAAATAACCTTAACATTTCAATAATCCAGGGAAAATTTGTTAATAAGCAAGTAAAAATTTGTTTGTGGTTACACTAATAAAAATTAATCGAACATCAATAAAAATTTTATGGAAAAATTGCTAGCTATACACAAATGGTAATTGAATAAAAGTTATTTAAAAAATTAAAGTCAGATGAACAGTAAGATACAAGTAAATGTATAGTATGGAATAAACAGTAGTAGACAGGGGTTGAAGTCCCCAAACAAAAATAATAGTAACGCTGCTTCAAAACAAGTCTCCTTCCAACCAGATAGCCACCAAGAATTCTCTGTATAGAAATTCTGGTGCTGCCCCTGGGAATCAAATGGCTACCATTCTGAAAGTGGCATCAAGGCATTTCAGTATCCCAAATCTCTTGCTTACTTCACAGAGCACATGGGACTTAATTTTTTAATCGATGGCACCAAACTAAAAGGAGTTCAAATCTGAAGTGTGCAAAAGTCAGTGCTCAATATTATATACAGTAATCCCATTTTGTAAATGACTCGATTATAAAATGGTACCTCTTAAGGGAGGTGACTAGATGCCAACGAGACCCTCGATTCAAGAAATTGCATCTTTGGATCAAACCTGATTGCCCTGCCCTCCCCTTCCAGACAGTCCAGCTGCTGCCTTCCTCTACATATACATACTGTACTGTATACTGTATTGTAGCTCTGTTCTGCTTATTAATGATGTTTAATGCTTACTATGAATGAAAAAAAAAAGTATCAAATGTAAAATACTGAGTAAAGTCTGTTACAAAAATAGATGAAATTAGATGTGGAATACTATGGCTCTGGAACACTTCTCCAGTTATGATGTGGGTGTCTATGGGAGAAATGTTCATAAGTCTGAATTGACTTAAAATTTTCAGGAATGACTTGCTGTAATAAGTTGGGGACTTCACATGAAATTTAATTGAATGATAAGTGGTCAAAATATAGTCTCTTATTGTTTCAGAATTTTAATTGCAAAGCTATTTAAAAGGTTACCTGACTTAATATTAATTACTTAGTAAATTAAATTTTGTGGCAAAATGTAATTGAAAAATGGCCAGCCACTTTCAATTCTTGTTACACAAAATGGTAATGACTATCCTAATAAATTTCTTATGCTTAGCAGCTTTATCCCTTTAACTGTGCCTAACAAATTACGGTTGGGACCAAACTGCATCCAACAAATTTTTGTAATTTTCATACCTTTAAATTTGCCACCTGCTGAAATTTTATGCTTTGGCTCAGCTGTTAAGGTGTTCTACCACCATGTCTTGCCCAAAACAATGTTGAGCCAGACCAATCCACTCTGTGCATCATGGATGTGTTGCTTCAAATGTCAACAAGGTTTATGGCATGCCACTGCATCTAAGTTTGTGTGCATAGCACAAGGCACATTTTATGTGCATATGAAAAGTTCATTATGTAGATTTAACCCAGATAAACCAGGAAAGTCAATGAAACCTGACCTGATTTGAGGGTTATCAACTTTAAACTATGAATTTCTTGTACAGTATATAGAAGACCAAAGCAATCAAGATACTCATTTGTACCCATTTATATTGTATATTCCATAAGGGGATATGAGCTATGCCTCTCATATTTCAAGTAAAATATCATGAAACACAAACTATGTACTATACATTGAAAACAAAAATTTCAAAACTTATCGTTTAGTGTAAATTTAAAAAATGAATACCACTGTGCATATTTATACCAATGTTGCTGACTTACAAAAATTTTTGGACACCAACACTGTAAAACTAAAAAAAATTATAATCCTTCAAAGTCTAAAAAACTACCAGGTAATTTTATTTTAATTTTGTCACAATGGGGAAATAAAATGTTGGCACTGCCACATTTAAAAAGGAAAGTGCAAAACAGGCATGTTCAAATACTAGCAGTGGCTGTTTTTGACAACAACCGACTTACTTCACAAACTCTGATGATGCCTTCAGCCCTTTCTACCTCTACCTCAATCTCTTGTTGCCCTCTACCCCCGCACTATCCCCTGCCCCGCTGTTTTCTGTAACCTACTGATCATCCCTCCCCCCTTCTACCGCCCAGTACCCTCGCTTCCTTCCCTACCCTGCAGCGCTGTATAGCCCTTGTGGCTTAGCGCTTCTTTATAATAATAATAATAATAATAAAATAATAATAATAATAATAATAATAATAATAATAGCAGTGGCTGTACAAGATGCCATAGCTAAAAACAAGGAAATAGTTTATGGCACAATAATGATTAGGAAAAGCGACAAACCTGTAAGGGTCATGTACAACCTGGGAAATGGGAGGTAATGGGTTTGATCCAAGAAAGGGGAGAACAGGTCCAATTCCTTGGATCAAGCACCCTCAACAGCATTAAGGAACCTCCCTCGAGGGGAAATTTGCTCCATTGTATATTTTAACTAGGAGATGAATGACTTGTTTACAAAAAAAGGCTAAATCAGTATAGGTTCAATGGTTGTCACCACCAGATGAAAAAAAAAAAAAAGGTAAATTGATTTATAAATATAAGAATTTGCATAAACTAAAGACTTCCCCCAATTTTATATGTATCAACCTGTATGACCCTTATGGATTTAGTGCTTAGCTATATATAATTATGTATCAAACTAGTCAAGAGATTCTTTTCATGAGTTATGTTAATGCATGACTCAATAGTCGCAAACAGTATGCTTTGTGTAAATGTACACAAATGACAAAGCACTCGTATTACAGGAGATATGCTTCACAAAATATCCTACCCATACATACTGAGCACATTAAAATTCCTAACAGTTACATTACCTTCATCCTGACAAGTTAAAAATTGACAAAATCTGGTATGGCAATTAAGGTATTCCAGGTCTCCCAGTAAATTTCACTATACAAACAATTTGATGAAATAATAAGCACCCTATCTTGTTTTTCCCTGCCATTGCAGCACTGCAATCAACCTGCTTCTACTATACACAAAGCTGAATTACATTAAATATGCAGGTACACAGGAGCATGTTAGATGGGAATGAGTGGAAACTAATGGTTTTTGGGATTTGATGAGCTGTTGGAGTGTGAGCAGGGTAATGTTTTGTGAAGGGATTCAGGGTAATTAGTTAGCCAGACTCGAGTCCTGGAGGAGGGAAGTAGTGCGTGCACTCTAAAGGAGTTTGGGAAGTCTGCTGTTTAGAGTGACATCTAAACTGTCGTCCACTTGCCCCTGGCAAGACAGTGATTGTATGAATGATAGTTTCATTTTCGGGTGACCCTGCCTTGGTGGGAAACGGCCAGTGTGTTAAAAAAAATTGTGCAAGTTTTACTGAATTAAAACTTTTAATAATAGTAAGTCAAATCAAGATGTAACCTGATTTAATTGTTTCGACTTCTTAGCATGAATTATGGTGACTTGAAACAAAAGTGCATAAAATTTTAAAACAGCCAGATCATGCCAAATTTTATTCAAAGGACCTTAAACTGTATGCTAAAAGGCTTCATCATCTTTTAGCTAACTATACCTTGTATTTTTAGTTCAGTGGGGTGGAGGGGTAGAGTTAACCCCAGGTGCTATATGACCCCTGTAGGATTTGGCATTTAGGTTCAATCCACTGGTTATATATAAAGCATGATATAACCATTATAGTTCATGGAACAAACTGTCCTGGCTATCTCTTATTAGAAGTTGTACAGCATGACAGGTGGTGGTCCTGCACTTGCTGTCACATCACATATAAGTGAACATCCCCCCCTCTCTCCTTCACTTAATTTTAAGAAGTCCTGTTCCACAATTATATACAAGTAGGTTGGTAGAACTGAATCACCCAGGGAGGTACTATCATTCTGAGTGGAACAGAATGCTTAATAATTGTTTTTTATCCAGCATAATTGCCGGTCCTTTTTGTCTCTTGAACATTAAAGATGTAGGGTAAATCTTGCAAATTTCTAATTACATTCAATATTCAATATTTTTTTCTTTCTCCTGTATTTCTTAATTCTTTTCTCTGTAATGTTTCCTGTTCAATTCCATGGGAAAGTAGATTGAAATTCTTTTTCAAACTGCATGTCACAGAAGGTGACTAAAATGCAGGAAACAGAGCTAGTAACCACTACCTGACTAATTGCTAAAAGGATAGACTTTTCCTTCTTTGCATCACCCTACCTTGGTGTAAACAGCTGTGCTGTAATTAAAACTGCTGCAGAACATTTTTATGATATTGAGAAAAAACTCCCGCTACAGATATAATAACTGCTGCATACTGTAGCAATTATAAACCTTTCAATAAAATTTAGAGATATTAATAAAAAGTATATGCAGTATACTGTACATATATACATTAGGTATAATTACCATGCTTATACGTACTTTATACTTTTACTAGCTCAACAGATGGTCTAATTTTCTTGCAAACATGGGAGGAAAGCACTAATTTTTAAAAGTATTTTTTTGCAAGAAAGTATATGATACTCTAAAAAGTAAGCTAATAAAACAATTCTCCAAAAAAAATGCTCATATGAGGTTTAGAACAATGTTTATACAGTACATGACATTATGATGATGTAAAATGCTGAACTTTTGTGAGCCATTCAGCACACGTACTGGAGGCTTGATCCTCCATCTGTTAATCATAGCATGATCTCCGACAAGTTGAGAGTATTTTGAACCATTTTAGAAACTGTCTAGAAAGTACTGATGCCTACAATATAAAAAAACTCAGGTTCCAGTATATTATTTTTTTTGACACTATTTCAACTGAGAATGCAGCATGTCTAGCACAATATTACTAACAGGTCATTAATGTGTTATCAGTTTTGTGTAGCTTTGCTTTTCATAATAGTACAGTGGTACCCCGAGTTTCGTACAGCTCCCAACTCGAACAATTATGTAAGTGTATTATTGTAAGTGCTTTTGTAAGTGTATTTTTGGGGGTCTGAAACATACTAATCTAACTTACACTATTCCTTATGGGAACAAATTTGTTCGGTAATGGCACTCGAACAGCCTTCTGGAACGAATTATAGCTGAAACTCAGAGCACCACTGTATAATTAAGGTGTAGAGCGACCATTTAATAAAAAGTACTTCCAACAAAATCTCAGTTTCAATAGGAAGCTTCACTGTATAGACATGCATATTGAACGATTATAAGTCAATGCAGAGATGCTTTTAAAGAATCATCCTGAAACAAAGCAGCAGAACAAAAGTATGAATGGTAAAACCATGAGGTATTCTATTACCTAATTAACACCAAAATGCTTTTCTTGTTTTGTCTTCACATTTTCCCAGATGAAATAAGCATGCCCACAATTATACTATCTTCCTGTGCTTTAAGCAGACATGGGCATTTGGTTAGTGGGGATGTCAAGAGGTGTCAAGTTAGCTGCGGATGGGAGCGAGGAGCCGGGGTAAGAGGGATCTGCCAAAATGTGAAAAATTAGGACTAATAATCTTGCAAAATTAATTACATATAAACATAAAAAATAGCATTACACATACACAAATGATATTATTTTACTAAAGACACTTGTCATATTTTTTTGTACTTGTGCATATGTATTGGTGAAACCTGTTATAATCTAAATAATAGTGATGAAATGTGGGGATTAACGTAAAATTAAACATTCACTGAAGACGATGATTTACATTAGCACAAACCTCAGATTTGGTTACCCAGGATATCTCAAGGAAGCCAAGTAGTACGGCTTATTTTCACTGGGGTTCTTAAGTGCTCTTCCAGAATGTGACTCACAATTGACTAACTTCTAGGTGAACTGGTGTGTAGCACAACCCAAACACTAACCTTGCCAAATCCTAATTTTCATTAATTGCCATTCAGCATAAATGAATTTTATATAATGGAGCAGCTATTACCTGAGAGTCAGTGTGTAAACAAACCACACTAGTTTCATATCAAAGACATACTAATTTAACCTTCATAATTAAAGTTCAAAAAATACACCATGTGAAACTTGTTAAATAATGTTATTGTGGGACCTCTACTATCCACAAATATCTGTTCCTGGCCATATGCAAAAAAAATAATAAAATAAAATGATTTTCATAGAGAGCTGAGTTTTCCCTATCATAATCAAGTGTGGACCAACTATATGCAGGTCCCATCAGGACACACTATAAGCAGATCACATTACTACCACTGAACACAACCTTACGGATTTAGAGTGAATGGAATACTATCAAGTACGTATAGCAGACCATTGGATAATACATGATCCTTTAACATGTTTTTGCAGTGATACTGTTGCCAAATTGTGGTAACAGTGATCCTGGAACTGCAAAGAAGAAGCATAAGCATCAAGGTCTTGGTGTTTCAAAGACAGTCAAGATACAAGATAAGCTTAAGGGTGGCCCCTGTGATGGAAATGCCACAAGCCTTTGCCCTAAATGAGGTATCAGTTCATACAATTAAGAAGAATGAGGCAAAGATACAAATACTGTATATGAGCTTGTGCAACGAGTTACCCAGGTTGCAACCTTCTGAAATGAATGACAATGTACTCAGGGACGCATTCCTGAAAAAAAAAAAATAGTATGTGCAAAATGAAGCCATGAAAATTGTATACAGTAATACTGAAATACAGTGGAACCTCAAATATCAAACTTTCTTCAGTCCAGAAGACTGTTCGAGTGCCTTTACCGAATGAATTTATTCCCATCAGGAATAATGTAAATTAGATTAGTCCATTTCAGACCCTCAAAAATACACTTATAAAAGCACTTACAAAAATACACTTACATAATTGGTTGTGTTGGGAGCAGTTCGATTTTTGAGGTTCCACTGTAATATAAAGCTGTATTCCAGATACCTCCCAGAATACCACTGTTTCCAGTTTCAACTCGCATTACTAATAATTAGTATTTTTTTCCATGGATCATTTAAATTATAAAAACCTGCTCCTTATTAATATCAAACCAGTTAATAACAAATTAAAATATGGTAAAACAACATTAATAAAATTAAATGTTTCTCCGGCTACAGATAAGTTTTCAACAAAGAAATGACCGACTGTAAATCAACAAGACGATAATTCATCATCTGTTCTCATAATCTCCCTTCCCCTCCAGTTTTATGCAAATCTGCTATTAGAAAAAAGTTCAATAAACACTCAGTAAGTAAGAGGCATTGTGAATGTTCTAGCGGCTCTATTTTCTGATTTGTAATTACTGGAACTGATATTAAAATTCACAAGTGAAAAATATAGTTCATGTATCTTGTAAATCCACAGAACGCATTTTCAAAAAAATTTACCGTACATGGGATGTTGTGATCTTTAATTTTGATTCATGAATAGAACTGAGGTGTCATCACATTCATCTTACCCCACACTAATGCCTTTAATGATTTTAATATTCATATTTATAAGATGAAAAATTTTGGAATTCAATTAATCCACTGAACTACTTTCAAAAAAAATTTCCATGACTGGTTTTGATAATGAATTTTAAGTGACAAGTGCCACCATGGATGCAATGTACTCGCCTTACTGTTCACCAACTATGACTATATTAATTTTAATGTGGCTCTTGTGACATTATTATGATGATCACAAAAAACAAAGAAAAGTCTGGAGTTCAATAAATCTATTGAACATGTGTAGAAAGTACTATTTTTTTTTTTTAATTTGAATTTTGATCCACATTGCCAGAACATTTCACAATGGCAAACACTGCATAGCCTTAATACCCTTTCAGGGTTTCGGCCGTACTAGTACGGCTTACGCCCCAGGGTTTTTGATGTACTAGTACGCCTAAATTCTAGCGCCCTCAAATCTAATGAAAGAAAGCTGGTACGCCTACATATGAAAGAATGGGTCTATGTGGTCAGTGTGCGCAGTATATAAAAAAAAAATCCTGCAGCACAGTGCATAATGAGAAATAAAAAACTTTGACAGTGTTTTTGGATTAAAACAGCGACTTTGCACTGCATTTTCGTATGGTATTTATGGTTGTATTCTAGTTTTCCTGGTCTCATTTTATAGAATGGAAGGCATACTACAAAAATTGAGATGATTTTGACTGGTTTTACAATGAAAAGTACCTTGAAATTGAGCTCAAAGTAGCAGAAATGTTCGATTTTTACCAAAGTTCAAAAGTAAACAAATCATGCCAAGCGTGCAATACACGTCAACTGGCGAGTCTAATATTCTTTCACAAGTGCGCTGATATTATTTATATCATTTCTACACTAATGCAGTAATCTGCATAACAGTAAATCTTCTATTTTTTGTAAGAATAAAAATTCAAAGTGGAAAGCCAAAGAAATATAAGAGGGGCCTGGGGATGTGACCAACGAACATCTCCTTGCCAACCTCAACAGAACACATGACCATAACACAAGGCACAGATCACTCTTTGATGTTCCTCGTGTCCATCTCACACTATGCAAAAACTCAATGCACATAAAAGGCCCTAAAATCTGGAATTCATTACCTGTAAATATAAAAGAAACACAACCTGTTTATAAATTCAAGTCTCTTCTCAAAGATTACTTACTCACCCAAAACCAAATAAATACAGTGGACCCCCGGTTAACGATTTTAATCCGTGCAAGAGGGCTCATCGTTATGCGAAATAATCGTTATGCGAATGAATTTTCCCCATAAGAAATAATGGAAATAAAATTAATCCGTGCAAGACGCCCAAAAGTATGAAAAAATTTTTTTTTTACCACATGAAATGTTAATTTTAATACACACAAACTGAAAAAGGCATGCACAATTAAATGACACTTACTTTTATTGAAGATCTGGTGATGATTGATGGGATGGGAGGAGGGGAAAGCATTATCTTCTTACTGTTTAGAAGGGGAATCCCCTTCCATTAGGACTTGAGGTAGCAAGTCCTTTTCTGGGGTTACTTCCCTTCTTCTTTTAATGCCACTAGGACCAGCTTGAGAGTCACTGGACCTCTGTCGCACAACAAATCTGTCCATAGAGCTCTGTACCTCCCGTTCCTTCAAGACTTTCCTAAAATGGGCCATAACATTGTCATTGAAATAGTCACCAGCACGGCTTGCAACAGCTGTGTCAGGGTGATTTTCATCTATAAAGGTTTGCAGTTCAACCCACTGTGCACACATTTCCTTAATCTTTGAAGTAGGCACAATGGATTCCCACAACTGGCATAGGCTTCTCAGGGTTAGCCCCAAACCCTTCAAAATCTTTCTTAATTTCCATACTAATTCTCACCCTTTTTACCACAGGGTTGGCACTAGAAGCTTTCTTGGGGCCCATGGTCACTTATTTTCCAGAAACAGCACCGAAAACACTGTAATAATACGAAATATTCCGAGTGTATGCTTGGATGTTACCGCGGAGGCTGGCTGGTAAACAATGGGACGGCCGGCACATGTGAGGGCACATTGGACGCGTCTCGGACGAAAATCGGTAAGCGGGTTTTTAATCGGTATGCGTGGCAAAAATTTTGCGATAAAAGTAATCGGTATGCGGAAAAATCGCTATGTGATGCCATCGTTATGCGGGGGTCCACTGTACTGAATAACTGAACATTATAAATTGTATATCTTAAATGTTTCTCACAATTATATCACATAAATGTTAAACCTAAAACCCAATCTAACTTTATTATTTTTTAAATACACTACCAAACAGAATCACTACCTAACTGAATGCAACCATATGACCTGTCTTTGTAATACTCACTTGTGCTTTATAGTTATCTGTTTACATTAATGTTTTATCACTGATTTCATCATTGCTTAGTAGCAGCGCTGTATAGTCCTTGTGGCTTAGCGCTTCTTTTTGATTATAATAATAATAATAATCATTGCTTAGTTAATCTTAAGTTAATTTTAAGCCAGCCCGTAATGCTATGCATAGTATAAGTGGCTTTGGCATACTGCTCTTATCTGTATTTTTTTGTACCTCTGTATGTGTGCACAAATTGGAAATAAATAAATAAATAAATAAATAAATTATTATAATCAAGGGGGAAGCGCTAAACCCGGAGGATTATACAGCGCCTGGGGGGGGGGGGATGTGGAAGGCATTCAGGCTTAATTCGGGGAACTGGAGCACAGATCCAATTCCCTAAATCAAGAGCCCCTCACCAACATCAAGGAACCTTCCTTGAGGGGGACCAACGAACAGAGAACTTGTTATTTTAGTGCCAGGAATGTCTTGTTTATTCTGGACCCTATTCGAAAATTGGCATCTTGTGAAGCTTGTGTGAAATTGGCAAAATTGCTAAATTCTGACCACTTTATTGGATAGTTGAAATCAGTAAATGTGTGCTTTCTTGTACTCATTCGATAGAAAAAAATGGAGTTCTAGCGAAACAGTTATGATTTTTGTCGACTAGCACACTGGAATTGGCCGAAAATAGAGCTCAAAGTGGGCAAAATCGCCGATGCGTAAACATCGTTGAGACCGCTAACTT